ATGCTGGTGAAATTTAGGGAGCACTGTCTTTAAGTTTGAGTGATTAAAATCACCTGCAACTATAAATGCAGCCTCCGGGTGAGCAGTCTGTTGTTTACTGATAGCGGTGTAAAGTTCCTTCATAGCAGCTTTAGCATCGGCATCAGGGGGGATGTAGGCTGCAGTTACAATAGTGGAGCTGAGCTCCCTTGGCTGATAGAAAGGTCTACATTTAACCATGAGAAACTCTATGTTAGCTGAGCAGTGTCTCCCAATAATGACAGAGTCTGTACACCAAGCTTTGTTAATATAAATGCACAGCCCTCCTCCTCTGGTCTTACCGGAGTCCTCTGCTGTTCTGTCTGCTCGGTGTGTGTGGCGACCGGCTAGCTTGATAGCATCGTCCGGTACTCCGTTGTTTAGCCATGTTTCCGTGAATATCATGACATTACAGTCCATAATTCTCTTGCTGTGGATGATGCGAAGTCGTAACTCGTCCATTTTGTTCACCAAAGACCGCACATTAGCGAGGAAAATGCTGGGTAACGGGAGACGGTACGGTGTTAGCTTTAGCTTAGCCCTTATACCTCCGCGCTTCCCCCGCCTTTGTTTACGGTCTCGACGCCGCCTGCGAGCACTTCCGCCCGGCCGGGTAGAGTGCGTAGCCTCGGGTGTTTTGGCAATCTCAGGGATGAGTCGAAGATTGTTGATTAAATCATCAGGGAGGTGTATTCCGATATCCAAAAGTTCCTGTCGGGTGTAGGATGTTAAGGCGAGGCTGTTCCGTGCGAACAGACCCGAAATTAACAATAAAATTACAGCAAAATTGCCAATCTGAGAGAGACGCTGGGCCTCGCGATGTGCTCGCGCCGCCATCTCTGTGTTCTGTCAGATGTTTCGTTCCATCTGAAGTCTGAACTGCCATATTTGTCTTTAAAGAGGACATATTATCTCCCTTTTCCACCTTTTCAAACAGTCCCCTGTGGTCTAAATGAAACATCTGTGCTGTGCTTTGGTCAAAATTTAACATGAATCAAGCACCAGAGGAGGTTTGCGACCCAGTATAAACCAGCTCTCTCAGAACGCTCCATTTTGGTGTGTATGTCTCTTACATGGGGCTGTGAACCCGGGCCGCCCGCTTGAGACGACAGCCTCCATACATCAACAAGTAAGCGCTTGCCAGCAGAGAGACTTGAGAAGAAGGTGTTAGAATCATTGTTGGTTAGAAAGGTATCGATGTGCAGCCCCTGAGCTTGTGCCTCTTCATACAACCCCCCATCAGTGATGGCCCCTGCTGCCTCAGTGGGTCCATCCTGGCCGTCAGTTCCACCACTCAGGAAGACTGGACCATTAGGTGGGATCCCCAGCACTAACCACTGCGCCACTAGCGCCCCTCAAAATACTTTTCACACCACGTCTCATTCATCCATTCAAACCACATTCACACACTGGTGGCAGCGGCTGCTAAGTTAAGTGTCCATCAATATTGTCACATTCACATTCACACACCGCAGATGCGACAGCAGGAAAAACTTGGGCTTCAGTGTCCAGCCCAAGGAATCTTCATGTTACTGCAAGAGCCAGGGATTTAACCCCTGACCTTCTGGTCTGGAATAGTTAGTCTACCAAGTCTGTCTTTTGGGCAGAAAAGTTTCAATGTTTCAAACGACAGTTCTTCCCCACGAAATACATGGACAATGGGAAGAATAATCCAAACCTTGCCTGACTCCAGTGGAATGGTACGCCAAGTAAAGCTGCAGACCAAAACCAACGTCCTGGAGAGACCTATAAATAAACTGTGTCTGCTACAAGAACTTAGACTTAGACTTAGACTTAGACTTTCTTTATTGTCATTCAAACTTGTATTTTACAGTGCAGATAAGAACAAAATTTCGTTGCATTTGGCTCGTTGTAGTGCAGGATAAAAACAGCAGCATGTACTTACATATAAAAATTAAAAATAAGGTGCAGATATAAATAGATATAAAAAGAAAAACTATGAGTAAAAATACTATACAGATAAATATATTGCACGTTATATTGTGTTTTACAGTCCAGTGAGGTAGTCCTGTGTGGGGGTTTGAGGGGGAATGGAGGGATTATTTTTTCCTGTTCAAAAGTCTTATGGCCTGTGGGAAGAAGCTGTTACAGAACCTGGAAGTTCTGCTTCGGAGGCTGCGGAACCTCTTTCCAGAGTCCAGCAGCGAAAACAGTCCTTGGTGGGGGTGGGAGGTGTCTGCTGATTTTCTGAGCCCTGGTCAGACAGCGGATCTTTGCGATCTCCTGGATGGGAGGAAGTGGAGTCTTAATGATCTTTTCTGCCGTCCTCACCACTCTCTGCAGGGACTTCCAGTCGGAGGCACTGCAGGCTCCGGACCAGACAGAGATGCAGTTTGTTATGATGCTCTCTATAGTGCCTCTGTAAAAGTTGGTGAGAATAGGAGGAGGGAGGTGTGCTCTCTTCATCCGACGCAGAAAGTGCATGCGCTGCTGCGCTTTTTTCACAAGAGCGCCGGTGTGAAGGGACCAGGTCAGAGTGTCTGTTATCTGCACCCCCAGGAACTTTGTGCTGCTAACTCTCTCCACTGCTGTGCCATTGATGAGGAGTGGTGTGTGGCTGGGCTGGCACCTCCTGAAGTCGACGATGATCTCTTTGGTTTTATCGACGTTCAGGGTCAGGTTGTTGGTTCTGCACCAGTCAACCAGATGTTTCACCTCCTCTCTGTAGTCCATGTCGTTGTTGTCACGGATGAGGCCCACTACTGTTGTGTCGTCTGCAAACTTCACGATGTGGTTAGTAGTGGACCTGGCGCAGCAGTCATGGGTCATCAGGGTGAACAGCAGTGGACTCAGAACGCAGCCCTGAGGGGAGCCGGTGCTCAGGGAGATGACACTGGAGGTGTTGTTGCCCACCCGCACAGACTGGGGTCTGTTTGTGAGGAAGTCAAGCAGCCAGTTACACAGGGGGGTGCTGAAACCAAGGGGGGCCAGTTTGCTCACCAGATGCTGCGGGATGATTGTATTGAACGCTGAGCTGAAGTCCAGAAACAACATCCGCACATGTGTGTCCTTCTCTTCCAGATGTTGTAAGCCCAGGTGGAGTGCAGAGGAGATGGCATCCTCTGTGGAGCGGTTTGGGCGGTAAGCAAACTGGTACGGGTCGAATGTGGGGGGAAGTCTGGAGACAATGTGGTCCTTTACCAGCCTCTCAAAGCACTTCATCATGATGGGGGTTAGTGCTACAGGGCGGTAATCATTGAGCGAGGAGATTGTGGATTTTTTAGGCACTGGTATAATTGTAGCAGTCTTTAAACATGAAGGTACCACAGCCTGGATCAGCGAGGTGTTGAAGATGTCTGTGAGAACCCCAGCCAGCTGGTCAGCACATTCCTTAAGCACCCGTCCCGGTATGTCGTCAGGGCCCGCTGCTTTCCGGGTGTTCACTCTCCTCAGGGTTCTCCGGACATCAGCTGCGTCCAGGCTGATTGGCTGCTCATCGGAGTGAGGAATAGATTTCCTCGCTGGAGTGGTGTTGAGTGCCTCAAACCTTGCAAAGTAGTGGTTGAGGTCGTTGAGAAAGTTGATGTTGTTGTCACGAGGGGGAGGAGTAGCTTTATAGTCTGTGATGACTTGTATGCCCTGCCACATTCGTCTGGTGTTCGTGGGGTCCTCAAAGAAGTCCTGCACTTTCTGACTGTGAGCACGCTTTGCAACCTTTATGGCACGGTTCAGGTTGGCTCTGGCTGTTTTTAGTGCCACCATGTCGCTAGATTTAAAAGCGTCGTTCCGGGCTTTCAGCATTGCACGTACCTCACTAGTCATCCAGGGCTTCTCGTTGGCCCGTGTGGAGATGTTCTTGATCACACTAACATCCTCCATGCACTTCTGAATGTATGCAGACACAGACTCAGCATACTCCTCCACACACGTCTGGTGATTGTCCGTAGCAGCCGCCTTGAACATGTCCCAGTCCGTGCATTCAAAGCAGTCCTGTAATGCTTCCATAGCTCCCTCAGGCCAGGCCCTCACCTGCTTCACTGTGGGTTTTTTCCTGATCAGCAGGGGCTTGTATGCTGGAATTAGCATCACAGAGAGATGGTCTGAGGAGCCAAGGTGGGGGCGGGGTGCAGCCTTGAATGCCTTCTTGATGTTGCTGTAGGCCAGGTCCAGCGTGCTCCCACCCCTGGTTGCAAAATCCACATATTGATGGAAATGAGGAAAAACAGTTTTCATATTGGCCTGATTAAAGTCCCCTGCCACAATGAAAACTCCCTCTGGATGTGTAGATTGCAGTTCACTGATGGAGCGGTATAAAACATTCAGGGCTTCTCTGGTGTTTGCACTGGGAGGAATGTATACTGCTGTGAAGATCATAACAGTGAATTCCCTGGGTAAATAAAAAGGCCTGCATTTTATAGTCAGTAGTTCTACATCAGGAGAGCAGTGACTTGAGACTATCTCACCGTTGTTGCACCAGTTGTTGTTGGTGTATATGCAAACACCGCCACCTCGGGATTTACCAGTGAGAGAGCTGCTCCTATCCGACCGAAATAATGTTAGCCCCTCTATGCTAACTGCCTCATGTGGAACGGATGGTTTCAGCCACGTTTCTGTGAGAAATATGGTGCAGCAGTCTCTCATCTCCCGTTTTGCAGTTAAATCCAGCTTCAGGTAGTCCAGTTTGTTCTCCAGGGAGCGGACATTAGAAAGCAGGATGGAAGGAAGCGGCGTTCTGTGCGGGTTAGCTTTTAGCTTGGTTGTTAGCCCCGCTCGGCATCCCCGTTTTTGCTTCCGGTCACACCGCTTCCGTCTCCTCCGCTGGCGGACACCGCTGGTACGAGGCTCCGCTGCTTCACAGGCCGCTGAATGTAGCCGGCGTAGTATTCCGAGGCAACGTGGAAGGTCCAGAGTAGTAGCTTCTACCGGACTGAAACTGTTTGATTTACCTAAAACTAAAATTGCCTGGCGGTCGTGTATTACTTTAGAGCAGGGGTGCCCAATACGAGGAGTTTTTTTTCACTATGTCATTTTCTAAGTGTGTTTGCCTCATCTGCCAGTCTACCATCGCAATACCGAAGAAGGGAAATGTGGAGCGGCATTTTCGGACTGCTCATAAAAACTACAACACCAACTTCCCGCCAAAAAGCGAGCTGAGAAAGAGAAAGGTGAAGGAACTAAAATGCCAGTTGTCCGGACAGCAGTCGTTTTTCTCACAGCCAACTTTAAAAGCCAAAGCCGCCACCGAGGCATCGTTCCGGGTGAGCCACTTAATCGTTAAGAACAAGAAGTCCTTCCAAGACGGAGAGATGGTAAAAGAGGCATTCGTTGAAGCAGCTGACTCATTGTTCCGAGACTTTAAAAACAAGGCAGAAATATTATCTTCGATCAAAGCTCTCCAGCTGTCAAGAAGTACAGTTACACGGCGCAGTGAAGCCATAGCCGAGGATTTGACGCAGCAACTTTGGAAGGACATCGCAGATTGCGAGTGCTTCTCACTGCAGTTGGACGAATCTACGGACGTGAGTGACACAGCCCAGTTGTGCATTTTTATTCGGATGGTGTTTACTGACATGACTGCAAAAGAGGAGCTGTTAACACTACTGCCCATGAAAGAACACACGCGAGGAGAGGATATATTTCAGTCTTTCAATAACTTTATCACGAAAACCCAGCTCCCAGTGTACAAATTGGTGTCCATCACCACGGATGGAGCACCCGCAATGGTTGGCCGTGTGAATGGATTTATTGCCAAGTGCAGGGAGGACGATGCTTTCCCGGACTTCCTGAATTACCACTGCATAATACACCAACAAGCGTTATGCGCTAAAATGCTCAACATGAAAGAGATCATGGATGTGGCAATGAAGATCGCCTGTTCTATTCGCGCCAGATCTCTTCAAAGACGGCTATTCCGTGCACATCTGGAGCAGGCTGACTGCGACCACTCTGAGTTGTTGCTACACACTGACGTGAGATGGCTTAGTCGAGGGAAATTCCTGCAAAGATTTCGAGAGCTCTGTCCGGAGATTAAGGAGTTTTTCCGTGTAGCTGGACATGCAGAATACAAGCAACTAAATGACGGTCAGTGGCTGTTAGACTTGGCATTTTTAACTGATCTGACAAACCTATTGAATGACCTTAATCTAGAGCTGCAGGGAAAAGACAAAACAGTGATTAATATGATCAGCTCAGTTAATGCATTCAAACGAAAGATGCAACATCTCTCCTCAAAGCTGCGGCGCCATGATTTGGCAAACGTCCAGAACCTGGCGTCAGAGCTGGAGATGCAAGGGAAGGCCTGTGTGCAACTTGACAGTGCACGCTACACAGAGCAGATTGACAAATGTCTGTCAGAGTTTGACAAACACTTTCAAGACTTTTTTTTGCTCGAGCCAATCGCTACATTCATGTGCTATCCTTTTCGGGAAGATGCTGAGGTTGATTCACTCGCATCAAAAATTTCAACCCTGTTTCACTTGAACTCTTCTGGAGTGGAAGATGAGATTTTGACATTACAAGCAGACATTCAGCTGAAGTCCAGAGCTCATGGAGAGTTCTGGAATTTACTCACAGAGGAAAAGTACCCCAACATGAGGAAATGTGCTACCTCCTTGACTGCTTTATTCGGCTCCACTTATTTATGTGAGTCAGCCTTTTCCCACATGAAGATCATTAAGTCCAAGTACCGTTCCACCATAACTGATGGTCATTTGGAAGTGTGCTTGAGGCTGGCTGTCAGCAGCTACTGTCCGGACTATGCATCCCTGGCTGATTCCATTCAGTGCAAGTCATCAGAATAAGGTAATGACAAAAAATGTACATAGTTAATTGTGTTGTGTTGTGCAATATGGGCTCATGCTGTTATGCAAGGGACATCAACATACATTGTACATATAGAGAATTCTCAATATATTCATGAATAAATATGTTTAGTATTTTTGTAGTAGGTAGATCATTTTGACTTGGTCATTTTATAAGTAGCTAGCATGCTGAAAAAGTGTGACCACCCCTGCTTTAGAGTAACTACGCTGCAGGTTTACTGTGAAATTATCAGAACAGACTGGGTTATTTGCCATTATATTCCTGTTGCTATCACCGCCGCCTCGGGATTTACCAGTGAGAGAGCTGCTCCTATCCGACCGAAATAATGTTAGCCCCTCTATGCTAACTGCCTCATGTGGAACGGATGGTTTCAGCCACGTTTCTGTGAGAAATATGGCGCAGCAGTCTCTCATCTCCCGTTTTGCAGTTAAATCCAGCTTCAGGTAGTCCAGTTTGTTCTCCAGGGAGCGGACATTAGAAAGCAGGATGGAAGGAAGCGGCGTTCTGTGCGGGTTAGCTTTTAGCTTGGTTGTTGCCCCGCTCGGCATCCCCGTTTTTGCTTCCGGTCACACCGCTTCCGTCTCCTCCGCTGGCGGACACCGCTGGTACGAGGCTCCGCTGCTTCACAGGCCGCTGGATGTAGCCGGCGTAGTATTCCGAGGCTACGTAGAAGGTCCAGAGTAGTTGCTTCTACCGGACTGAAACTGTTTGATTTACCTAAAACTAAAATTGCCTGGCAGTCGTATATTACTTTAGAGTAACTACGCTGCAGGTGTACTGTGAAATTATCAGAACTGACTGGGTTATTATCCATTATATTCGTGTTGCTATCACGAGCCACTGCAGCCGCAGCCGAGCAGGGCACCGCCACAAAGCAGTGTGATCACAAAGACTACATGATGGACAACATAAATGGGACTGATGAATAAGACTTTAAAATAGTAATTGCAGTTAAATGGTGACTTATAACTCTTATTATTTGAATTAATTTGTTGAGTGCTTTAGTTTGATGACTCTTAGTATTGTAGTTGGTCATGGCTTAATCATCCTGCTTAATCATTAGGGGCCGGATATGTAAGAGCCACAAGATGACAACTTAAGTCAATTCAAACAACTTTACAAAATGCAAGTATTTACTTAGAAAGCAGGCCCAACAATGCACAGTGTCCAACATAAAAGCATATTGTCAGCTTGATGTGTTGCTCCACACAAACACAACTGAAGACTGTTACCGGCTCAGAAGAAAAAGCACCAAGTACCAACAGAGCAAGAATTAGTGTGAAACCTCCAGGACCATGATGCTTATGACAGGTTTTTTCCATAATGATGGCAGTCAGTATAAGGGCTATAAGTGCATGTTATGTTGTCTTAAAGATTCAAGAACAAACTCACAAAACTCAAATATATTTACCATCAATGATAGTAAATCTTTGCTTTATTTATAATAAATAAGTCTCATCCTTCTGTCTCCTGGAGCTTTACCTTTACAATTTTAAACTTTACAGACGTGAAATCTTGACTCATGACAGCAGCACCGTCTTTACCTCTTCACCAACAATGTTACACTTTAAAAAAAACACTTGAAGCCATTACATGCAGACATTAGCTGAAGAAAGTTTTCATTGAACATACTCATATTTGATATTTGACGCCAAGCTTTGTCGTTATTTAAACTAAAAAATAGACATCAAATGACTTAGAATAAAGATAATAATAACTGAAATGCACAATCCAGCAATTTATATACAGTGTGTCTGAAAAAGTCAATGCATCCATTACAGTAACATTTTTTTAATCTAACACAGAGGCCTAATGTATTAGAAACTTATTTATTTTTGGCTCATGCATATTTATCTAAAAGTAAAAGATAGTACAATTAATTTTAGTTAATGCAATTAATGTAAGCAAAGACCTGTATTGTATCATATTAGTGTAAAATAAACATTACACATTAATTATTAATATTTTACCAGCTGCATTTTTCCACCTTTTAAAAATCTAAATAACAGAGTTAACAGATAGCAAAGTGTCAGGAGGCCCAAAAGGTGAATTAGAAAACACATAGTTTGATCATATTCATTTCATTATAAGAATAACCTTTTTTTAAGGGGGGGGGGGGGGGGCTTTACAATGAAATCCGTGTCCGTATTCAAGCCGTGTCCGTATTCAAGCATTAACCAGAGTCTCTTATCTTTGAAAGCAGGCTCTTATGTCTGATAAAACGTTTCAGTATGTGAACTCTCACTGTTTGAGTACCGAGTCCATACAGCACGGGGTTGGCAACTGATGGGATGATGATAAAATACAAAGAGAGGAAGATCCTTGCATCTACAGCCACATGGTTCATGTTGAATCGAGTTTGGATGACTTCGAATAAGGATCCTATCGTGTAGTTTAGCAAAGAGACTATATGAGGGATGCATGTTTTAAGAGCACTGCCCCGAGATTCTCGCAGCAGTTTCCCACACACTCTTGCAATTTGCATGTAAGAGAAAACAATCATCACTAGCTGAGGGACAATCAAAAACACAATCAGTACGAGTCCCACTATACTTATGTATGGCACACTTGAACATGAGTTTTTGACCACTTCCATGTTCACACAGTATAATTTCGGCACCACTTTTCCGCAGAAGCTCAGGTTTAAGGTCAGAGCGTAGAAACATGCAAACAGAATCAGCGGGTAAAGACTAGCTAATGCCACAAGCTTGCTTATCTTTGAATAAGACATGATGCTGTGGTAATGTAGAGGGTGACAGATGGCAACGTACCGGTCATATCCCATCACAGCTAATATAAAGAACTCAGCACATCCATATGTGTGCAGAAAGTAGACCTGAGCCAAACACCACTTCACGCTAGTCTCATGTGTGTCAGACATGAGCAGAGCCATGACTGCAGGTAACAGCGCGGTGGTGCCGTACATTTCATTGACAGATAACATACATGTGAACACATTCATGGGTTGGTGCAGCTCTTTGTTCTGATGTATGACAGTGATGAGCAGCGTATTCAGAGTGAGAATGATAAGATACAGCAAGAGGAATACAGTGAACAGCCCGTGTTTGTTGTTTTCCATGACAGCATAGGCAGTCATCGTGAATGTCAGCACGGTTCTGTTGTCCATATTTCACTTCATCTCTGTAAAAGAAAAGCATACATTTTATAATACAGGCTGGTGAAGCACTTTATGATTGGTACTGAAGCTACTCAAAGCTATTTCAATGATATCAAGTCAACAACGAAGAAATTAAAAGACTGATAACAAAGCGAGAACAAGAAGACAGATGGATAGAGAGCCATTAAAATCACAAAGCAGGGTTAAAATATTATACAGTGTGTAAGATTATGTCTAGAAAGGTCTTGAATTGTTAAAATATGATGAGATTAAGATTGGAAGAATAAATAGCTAGAAAGTACACTTATATAAAACAATTAAAGTTTGGACGGTCTAACATCAAATATCTAAAAAGGTAAAAGTGCATTGACCTTAAGTAGATGTTGTATCATGGTACCAGAGGTCATTACTCAACAATGAACACATTTAATCACAGAACAAGCTAAAGTTGTTGGTTCAGAGTACAACAAACACACATCCTGTTACCTGCTTTCTGTCCTCTTCTGGAGGTAGCAGAGTGTGCCACTTGGTCACGGATGGGCTTTTAACAATGCTCATCCGAGATGCGTTGATATCATGTGATATAAGTGTGTAACTTGTTACCTTGGCGTCCAAAGTATGTTGTTCCTCCAACACCTTCACAAAAGCAGAAAAGTTTGGTTGAGAAACAACAACACAGATTCTGACACCTTAGCAAAGTGTAAAAGTAACACATAAAAATAAAATGTGATGCTTGAAACAGCTGCAGCGTGTGTGTGTTTATTTAAAAGTCCTTCAATGCAGCGGTTCTCAACTGGGGGGTTGGGACCTGAAAGTGGGTCGCGGAGCCGTTATCAGTGGGTTGCGAATTTGTGCCCGGAAAAACAACTACTGTATTTTCCGCACTATAAGGCGCACTTAAAAGCCTTTAATTTTCTCAAAAAACGACAGTGCGCCTTATAATCCGGAGCGCCTTATATATGGATCAATTGGTTAATTGGTTGATCCATACTGGTTGTACACGGCGCTCAGCGACACTGACTCGGATAATGACGAGAGGGAGCCGGGCATGTTGGATGCCGTACTCGCCCAACTGTTCAATTCGGACACTGAAGAAGAAGAATTCGAGGGATTCGTGGACGGGGAATGAACTGAAAAAGTGAGCTTTACGTGTTATACGTAACTGAACATTGTTGAGTTATGCACTAACGCAGGGGTGCCCAACCTTTTTTGAACCAAGATCTACTTTTAAAGTTACCAGTCTGCCGAGATCTACCAGTCCACATAGTGAGCCATAGCCTTTACCAACAGCCTACAAACGCATGTAATACTCACACACCAAACAGAAAATAATAAATGAGAGTTCTGTAAAAAATAATGCAGACTACAGACTACAGCAGGCTGCTGTGAGATGATTTTGCTTTTGTTAAATTAGCTGCAGACACGGTGAGAGTGAACGGAGTAAAGTCCAACCGACTGTTTGACCGGGTCACGTGTGTTCCCACCTCGGTCCGTACGGATCACGGATCAACTGTGTGCTGTAGCACTAAAAGTAAAAAGTAAAAAGGTTCGCGTGGTGGCTGGCGCTCCAGTGCAAGTGTGTGTGTGTGTGCGTGTGTGTGAGTGTGCGTGTGCGCTGTTTGTTGGTGTGTCTCGTCCCCCGCGATGCTCACAGTCATGACAGCAGAGAGGAGCAGAGAAAAGTAGCTGCAGCTTCATCAAATGCGCTTAATACTCGTAGCATAGTTTCTATATATGACTTTTTGGTAAAACATTTACCCCCCCCGGTTTTACCTGCACGTCATTGCGCATGCCTGCACTCTCTCTTGAGCGCGCTCTCTCTCTCTCTCTCTCTCTCTATCTCCGCCGCTCGCTCTCTCA